AACGCCTGCACGTCTCTGGGACGAGATGTGGAGACTGAACTACCGCCACAAAGACAGGCTTCCTGACACTATCCTACGTCAGCTTCACACTCAGAAGTTCCCTGCAGAAGTTCGTCTCGCCCTCTCGGCATTGGACTACTCTACTACCTCGGCGACCTATGCAGCCACGTCAGACAGAGTATTCCACAAATACACTGCTGTGCACCATGCTGCTGCGAACAACTCAGTGGCCAGACCATCACTTAGCTCTGGTCTCGTCAACCAGGTCAACGCTCCTCAGAGAAGTAGCATTCCACCAGACAAACAAGACATGAGGGACCTGCTACAATCTCTACACCGCAAGATGGACACCCTCGAGCAGCTCTACTCCTCCAAGCCTGCTGCTGATCCTGCCCCTGACCTACGCACTGTGTCCTACCGACCCCGACATCCCCATTCTGCCTTAGACGCCGCCGCCTGCCCCCAGCACAGTGTACCTACCTTCTGTTGGTACCATCGACGTTTTGGTGCTAACTACACGAGGAAGCGACTTCGACGGGGGTAGGTAAACGTCAAACCTCCGTCACTTCAGGCGTCTCACCGCTGCATGTCACCGACCACATCCATGGACTCAGTCACCCACGTGTACGGGCTGCCCAGTGCCTGTCATACCAGTCCTCTAAGATACATCGACCCACACGGGCTCCCTTAGAAACCTTACTTGCGCCCAAAGGACGCTTCCAGGTAGTGCACCTCGAGATCGTGGGACCACTTCCATTATCCTGCGGCAACACCTACATCTTCACCTGCATGGACCGTTTCACCAGGTGGACAGAAGCCATTCCCATGTCTAATGCTACAGCAGAGTCAGCAGTCCGCGCCTTCCTGTCTGGTTGGGTCTCCCGTTTCGGTCCTCTCACGACTGTCATCACTGACCGAGGAGCCCAGTTTGAGTCACAACTCTGGCGTAGTCTCCTACAGTTACTCGGCACTTCCAAGCACCGCACTACTGCTTAACCACCCTCAATCCAACGGCATGGTAGAGCGGTTTCATCGGCAGCTGAAGGACGCTAGCAAGGCACAGCACGCCCCCTACAGCTGGATGGATGCTCTACCCCCAGTGCTCCTTGGCATCCGCGCATCACACAAAGAGAACATGGACTGCAGCCCAGCAGATCTCACCCTAGACGAGCCCCTTCGCCTACCCGGGGATTTCTCACTTACTCCTGACCTTGACCACATTCAAAGCCACTGCCCCACGCCAGCATTCCCATCGCCCTAAGCACATCCCTCCTGCACTATTCAACGCCGAGTATGTCTTTCGTCAGGGGCGATGCTCACCGCAACCCACTTCAACGCACCAACGACGGACTCTTCCCCGTTTTTCACGACCAGCGAAGTTCCTCACGATCTTTCGCAATGGCAGACACGACACCATCAGCATCGATCGAGTGAAGCCGGCCACCTTACCCGATGGGCTGCACCAGACTGCCCACAGTTGCCACTTGCGGCACCACCTTGTTCACAACAGTTCTATGTGCCCTCCTTTCATTCTCAGGTATCTACTGCTCCTGATGAGAATCATGCACCTAGCCCTGTGGACCCAGACATCCTACCCAGCGCCCAAAGGACTGTGCACCTGCCTCCAAAAAAACACCACATTCCCCCCAGCAAACCACGCCTGCCCCCCACTTTATCTGTCTGAAGACTTCCTAGACGCAGTACAGGACAATTTTTTGAAACAACTAATAACAGAACCTACTAGAGGTGACAATGTATTAGACCTAGTATTAACAAATAAAGAAAATATTATCAGAGAAATCACAGTAGGGGAAGAACTAGGTAACAGTGATCACAGAGAAATCAGGTTCACCCTAAATTGGGAAACGAAAAACAATGACAATATAGTCAGAGTCCCAAACTTTCGGTTGGCGGATTATCAGGGGTTAAGAAGGTACCTAGGTGAGGTCACCTGGGAACAGTCATGTCAGTTCCCAGTAGGAAGGAGTGAGGTCATAGATGACACAACAATTGATCATGACTATAATATATTCACTAGTATTCTACATAAAGCACAAGAAAAAAATATACCATACAGAAAAATTAGGTCAAATAAGAATGAGCCAAGGTGGATGACCAGAAAACTTAAACATGACATAGGAATAAAGAAAGGAATATATAAGAAATTAAAGGGAGGGGAGGAGCAGCTCAGAAACAGGTATAATGAACTATCTAGGAATGTTAAGAAAAATGTAAGGAAAGCAAAGAGAGACTATGAAATCAAAATAGCAAGAGAATCCAAGGCGAATCCCAAGGGATTTTTCCAGGTATATAGGACAAAGGTCAAGGACAAAGTTGGGCCTTTAAAGTCAGGGAGGGGAGAATTGATAAATGGCAGTGAAGAAATAAGCAAAGCATTGAACAGCTACTTCTTATCAGTTTTCACAGAAGAAATTTGAGATGAAATTCCAGAGGTGGAACTGATATTTAAGGGAAAGGAAGAAGAGAAATTAAAGAATATCACTATCAGAAAAGAGGATGTTCTTAAGAAGATAAATAAACTAAAGAAAACAAAATCCCCAGGGCAGGATGAAATTTTCCCTCGAGTCTTGAAAGAGTGTAGGGAACAGATTAGCGGACCCCTCGTAAACTTATTTACAAAATCATTAGACACTGGAGTTGTGCCAGACTTGTGGAAACAGGCAAATGTAGTACCCATATTCAAAAAGGGAGACAGAGCATCAGCGTCAAATTACCGGCCGATCAGTTTGACGTCAGTAGTGGGGAAATTTCTTGAATCAATTATAGCAGATAGCATCCGATCGCATCTAGAGAAAAGCAAATTAATCTACGACTCTCAACATGGGTTTACAAAGGGAAAATCTTGTCTAACAAATCTGCTAACGTTTTTTAGGAAAGTCTTCGAGGTAGTAGATAATGACGAAAATTACGATGTTATTTACTTAGACTTTAGCAAAGCATTTGACAGAGTACCGCATCAGAGGCTTCTGAGAAAAATTAAGGCTCATGGTATCGAGGGGAAAGTTTTAAATTGGATAAAATCATGGCTCACCGATAGAACGCAGAGGGTCAGCGTAGATGGTGTTAAATCTGAGTGGGGCCGTGTAACCAGTGGGGTTCCCCAGGGGTCAGTGCTAGGCCTCTTGTTCATAATCTACATAAACGATCTAGATACTGGGATCAGAGTGACATAAGCAAGTTTGCGGATGACACCAAAATAGGGCGGCAAATTAATTCAGGGCAGGATGCAAATGCATTACAGGAGGATCTAAATAAACTGCAGGGGTGGTCTGAAAAATGGCAAATGAAATTCAACACCAGCAAGTGCAGCGTACTTAATATTGGAAGAACAAATACTTATAATGTATACAGCCTTAACAACATCAACCTAGAGAAGTCGACTTGTGAAAGAGACCTAGGGGTACTTGTAAGCCCGGACCTACGGCCTAGAAAACAGTGCGTTAATGTTCGAAATAAGGCAAACAGAGTATTGGGTTTTATATCTAGAAGTGTAAGTAACAAGAGTGCAGAGGTCTTATTGCAACTATATCTTGCGCTAGTCAGGCCGCACCTCGATTATGCGGTCCAGTTCTGGTGCCCCTATTATAGAATGGATATAAATTCACTAGAGTCGGTGCAGCGAAGAATGACAAAAATGATTCCGGGACTTAGAAACCTTCCATATCAGGATAGGTTAAAGAAACTTAACTTGCATTCCCTAGAAAGACGAAGAGTGCGGGGAGATATGATAGAAGTATTTAAGTGGGTGAAAGGAATCAATAAAGGGGATATAGATAAAGTTCTTATAATATCCGAGCAGGATAGGACTCGGAGCAACGGATTCAAGTTGGATAAGTTTAGGTTTAGGAGGGAGATAGGAAGAAACTGGTTCACAAATAGGGTGGTGGACGAGTGGAACAAGCTTAGCAACTTTGTAGTAAGTGCGGGAACTCTGGAAAGTTTCAAAAGGAGGCTAGATAGATTCATGGATGATAGAGAGTGGTAGTAACTCTCGACAGGAGCTGCCATGCACAGGCCAACCGGCCTATTGCAGACTCCTTATTTTCTTATGTTCTTATGTTCATTGCCGCCCCCAGCACCCTCTTTTCTCCCTCAGTTACTTACTGCTCCTGACCCTGCTCCTGCATCTGGCCCTATGAACCCTGACACCCCTCCCGGCGCCCCTGAGGACTTTGCACCTGCTGTGAGAGAAGCACCACATTCCTCGCCTGTTCAATTTTCTCTTATCTACAACCCTCCTTCTCCCTTTGCTTCTCCCACAGATTTTGTGTCACTAGACTGAGTCGTCACCAGTAGCGGTGGAGTGGTTCACACCCCCGCCCGTTATGTCTCACATGTGGAATACAACCTTGCCAACAACAAGTTTCCTGCAGCCCTTGGAGGGGAGGGGGTGTACTGTAGTGGATACTCTCCCTTACAACTGCCGATTTGTTGTTTACCAGCCAACCCCCAGTGAGCTCCTCAGACCAAGCCTCTCTTACGGACTGGGCGGTGATTGGCCAGTTACCGCCTTTCACTTCAACCTCAGCCTCAGAAGTACTACACACACAATAAAATACACGACAAATTTAAACAGACACAAGAACGAGGAACTCATAACATATTCTGAACTGGAAAACTATCCCAAATATCTACTAATTTTATAGTCGTCCTTTAACTTCATAAATCGTATATACATTAATTTGATAAAGTGCATTTAGTTTTCCCTAGGCCTAGGGACGAGCAGTAATGCAAGATGCCTCCACCCGGTCGCCTGATGGCGTTACTTGCAAGCTTTGTTTTAACTCGCCACGAGGTATGAGTGTTTTAGCCTGGCCTACTTATGTTTCCCTGTTCGGCAGATCAGTAATGTTCGTTCGAACATCTCTAAATATCACAATAAAATTTGTGAATATTACATAAATATTAGATTTGTCAGTATTGTACTGTACTTATACCCCTGCTTCAAAATTTAGAGAACGTGCATGACTTGCATTGCATTATCCAGCGTACATCCTATCACTTTGTAGCTATGGATATGGTATTTGTATCCAGTATCCTAATTCAGAAAGACCACGTAATGTCCTGTGACTAGAATTCCAACTCTTATGTCCTAACCTAAGAATCAAATTTGCATCCTGGCTTAAGTGACAACACCTATGTCCAGTAACTGAAGTATATAATGTCCTAATCCACAAGTACCAACAGTTAGATCTTCATACACAAGTACCAATTGTTAGACCCTTATACACAAGTACCAGCAGATGAAGCAGCAGAGCAGCCTTGTTCTTGCTACGTGGCAATTCCAGCTAATTACCAGCTGTACAACAAACATCATTTAACTCTTCCACACAATAGATATAAACTTAATTTACTCACCCACTGCTTAGCCGGCTTAAGTTAACTACTCACCGAAAAAGACAGTTAAATTTCAGTTTCCACTTTAAAGAACAACAAAATCACCCCGTATCAGGTGATCCTGTTTAAGGCTTACAATTTTCCCCTTACTTTAGGAGGAGTAGTTTTTTGTGACCCTGTTGGTAAGTTCATGGTGGAAATAGAAAAATAAAACCTCTTTGTCCCTACGGTAAACTAAAAAGCTATGCATTGCATTTAATAAGAAACGTATATGCCGTATAAGTACTGTACTGTGTTACTACCTTGAGATCATCAGTAAAGATGACGTTATCCCCATACCTGATATTGTAAGACCTGTAAAAGTGTACTGGTGAGTGCGTCATCCATCTCTTCATCCACATGACCTTGCCTGGGCTGCCACAGTCCCAAGTGTTGCCACTCAGCTTGGCCACCTGCAATACAAGAGTAAAGAAACACCACTTATAGCTGTCTTATGTAGCTGTCATCATCATCATCGATTTATGTTTCTTACTTAAAATTGGTTACATGCTAATATAAAAATAAATATATTCATTGGCGTGTGTCATGAGAAAGACTGATCGGCAAGTTCTGCCTATTACTTTCATGTAAAAAAAAAGGCCAGAGCTTTCTCCGAGAATATGTGTATATTCAAGTCATTAAAAAATGCTGGACCGTTCGTACACGAATTTCTAAGACAAACATTACTCCTTTTTAGAGGAATATTTCGTGGAAGTGTCTGAAATGTTGTCTATAGGTTTGTCGTCTATAGGTTTGTCGTCTCCCGTCTATAATTTCCAATTAGGCTCATTTTGTTTTTTGGGGGTATCTCTTACGAGCTTCTTTCCTTTAGTGTCTCAGCAAGCAATCCTAACAATAAGCGGTATTCTCAAGTCATTCTTACTGTTTGGTCCCTTGTTCAACATAAATGAGTGCCAAGGTCACTATAGAGACGCTTAGCACTAATAAATTAAAGCTGCCTCCTCCAATTAATTTTAATAACCTAAGCTTTACATTCGCATAATACGGTAGAGAATAATAGCACTCCCAATGCTGGGATCTTTAATTCAACTCAGTTGCCAGAAGCACCAATTACTCAAGTTGAATGAGTCTTCTAAATCGTAAACAAGATTCCTGTGTCTATTAACCTGCATATTAAACCATTTCCCATTGCAATGCATTATAAAGATATTACCCGAGTGTGAATATCTGTTCAGGAGTTCGCAGCCCCAAAGGCTCTGTAGGTTACTTACTATATAAATGACTAAATCAGAAGGCAAAATATCCATGACTATGCAAGCTTCTCTCATGACCTATCTGCACCACGTGTACTGATATACGAGAATTATAGCGCTTAACATATTTGTTTTCCTTAATCAAAAAGTCTTTATGAAATTGCAAATATTGTCATGTTGAGCCTGAACTTCGATACTTTCGTTGAACTAAATAATAAATGAGATATACTTTCTACACCTCAAAAATACTGGAAATATTTTCTTAACTATTACAACGTGTATTGAAAATACAAAGCAAATGTAATTAGTTACTGGTATATTAAACGTAAATTTAGATCCATTAAGTTATTTGAATCAAATGTAATGGAATGCATTTTGGGATAGTGGTCCTAAGAGACTACCAGTTTCTTTTTATCGTCTCGATAGAAAAAATGAAGCTATACCAAAGACACTGTTCGCCAGTTCGTGTAAAAATTTACTTTCAACTTATTTACTTTCCATAAACTGATTGGATTTATTACAGTAAATCAGTGAATATAAATATATATATTTAGATGTTTTCAATTTATCAATATGGCCTCTAGATATATTAAGAACATAAGAACATAAATTGGAGGACACTGCAGCGGGCCTATTGGCTCATACTGGGCAGTCCCGTTTACACCCAACCCCTATTGCTCATATAAGCATCCAACCTATGTTTGAAGCTATTCAGCGTACTCGAGATAATGATGATATTTGGTAACTATACAACAGTTTCAAGCAACAAATAGGTACTTGTCTGTCCACATCCGGTTTCCTGGTCGAAAATTAGACTTTAGGGAATTTAAATTTAAGCCTGCCAATGGCTCTCAAGTACTGCCCTTCCTCCTGTTGCACCCTATATACTGTAGTTGTTGCATGCATAATAAAATCCACTTTTTTTCTCTGTTTTTCATCCTTTGGAAATCGATGAAATCTCAAACTTTTATGATGTAGTCTGTAATTTGATATAAATCCAAATATGTCATAGACCTTCGCACCACGACAGTCAGCTGGTAACTGAGCTCTCACCGAGGACCACCCTCTGGGCTGCTGGCCAGATGACATCATGCACGGTGACGAATGAATTTTCAACTCGAAGTGGGTTGACTTGGTATAATTAGACTTTGCTTTTAACCACAACCCGGAAGATTGGCTATTCCACAAAGAGGCGCCGCTAACTGGATCAACAGCCAAAAACCTACAGTAATTCACTGCATTGGTCTTTGCTTCCCACAGACTCCGCTACACAGATGTTGAAGGCCATATCTAATCTCCTGTGGACAGCCCTCAAAAACTTTTATAGGCGGCCGCACACCTCCTTCCTACAAGAATTGTCCAGGCTAACCTTGGGCACCTCTAGGAAAACTTCCCGAGGCTATCCTACGCCAACTTCACCATCAAAAACTCCATGCTGCAGTACGACTTGCCCTTTTCTTCAAAGAATTGTTATCTTCAATCCCTTCGGCAACTACAGAAATGAAAGACCGAATATATAATGAATACATTAACTTGGGCCACGCTACTGACACAAATACTGTGACTACACCGCCAAGGGCTAGCCAACACTTCCCATCGCCATATTCAGTCATGTCGGCACACCCACTGACATCACCCTTCACATCATCGCCATCTAGAACAAGAACCAAAACCAAACTAAGAACCTGTTACAAACCTCCATGTGCAGGGAGGAGGCAATAGAGCTGACGTTTACTAAACAACCCTCAGCAAAGCCTGCAAGTTCTGCCAATCCACCAGCAACCAACCCCCATCTGTTGGTATCACGCACGGCTTGGCACACATGCCAGGTGCTGTGTTAAGTAGGTAGTAGGTAGTAGGCAGCTACCAAACAGGGAGGTACTACCGCCTGGGAAGATATTGGAAGCATAATGTGTTGTATAATGGTAGACCCTGCTGCCATATGGCATCACGAAAATTGTGACCAAGTCCCAGGTTGCTCATCTGACTTTCGGCCTCATTGCAGGGTCTCAGTTGTTTCTCTTACTAATGACATCACAACATACATATATTATTTCTCACTTATTATCATTATTATTATTATTGTTATTATTATTATTATTATTATTATTATTATTATTATTATTATTATTATTATTATTATCATTATTATTATTATAATTATTATTATTATTATTATTATTATCATTATTATTATTTATTATTATGAATACTAATTACTATTATTACATTTATTATTATTATTATTATTATTATTATTATTATTATTATTATTATTATTACACACACACACATTATTATTATTATTATTATTATTATTATTATTATTATTATTATTATTATTATTATTATTATTATTATTATTATTATTACATTTCGCCCCCCCACCCAGGCCCAAATATGGGTCAGTGACCTGTGCCCAGGTGGGCTAATCCACGTAACCCCTTGTGCTTTCTCGGGAAACAATAAATCCCGAGGGCTGGTGAAAGCGACCACCCCCGCCACCACAGGCATTCCACTTCTCCACATTACAAATCGCACCTGCGGTAGGAGTTTTCTCGTCGTTACACGAGCGTCTCTCAGCATTATTCCATGGACCTTGGACTGCCCAGGCCTAAAATTATATATATATTTTTTTATGAATTAAGAGTTCCAATATGTTTTGCTCACATTACACACCCGAAACTATCCTGCTAATTGAGCAGCCTCCCTCTATACTGCTAAAAGGTTCGGGTCCATCTACAATTAGGCAGGCTTAATACAAAGCCTTACCTACATAACTAGCTTTTCATATCCAACGAACCCAGCATATAGTGAGAACTGCAAAAGACAGTAGCAGGAGAAGATAGGTGGGGAGAGAAAGTGAAGTGAATTAAGTTAATGTGAAGGATATTGGTTAAGTCTGAGTAATGGTACAAAGGAAGTCTAAAAAAAAAACTCTGTCCACTTCAGGTAATCATCTAGAACGTACGAAAGGACGTTCATAATTGGCGGACACAACCGGGATAAATGGGGAGGGGGGGTAAAAGTGTGGAGATGTAGGAGTTTATGTGGTTTGCTTACCATTCGTCGACAGCTCACTGATAGTGAAACACTGTCTCAGGCACAAACTTGACTATGTTTCTCTTAATTCTTAGAACTTTCTGTCACAAAGATATTGTAATAATAGTACACTGAAGATTCAATAACAAATGATTCAGGTACAAATCATTACAGTTTATATACTAAACATAATTTACGAGATTAGTGGACGTGAGTGTTTCTTGGCGTGATTGTAGTAGCGAGGTTCACCCAGGTTTCATCGAAAAATACTTCTGGCCTTCTGTTGGTAGGGCGACCTTTTCTATTAATCGGAGGTACTTGTTCCTCACCACAACTATAATTTCTTCAGCCCGCTTCGTAGGCATTAGCCTTGTATCCAACTTTTCATTTTTAAAATTTTAAGAAGGGCAATCATCCACCAATTCATGCTCATGTCATTCACCATTGGCTTATTTAGTAGGATGTAACTTAGAAGAACTATACAATGATAAGGATATAGTAAAATAGAAACGAAAAGGACATCAAGATTGAAATACCAATTCTGGAAACAGAAGTTAAGGCAGCTGTGAGTAAAATGAAAAATTATATAGTTTGTGGGGTTGATCGACTTCCATAAATTTATAAAACAAATGGACAAGAATGGGATAAAATGGTTGACTAAAACATGTAATTCTATGTACTTCAAAGGAGGGCTAATATTGCTGACATACCCAGTTCGCCATGTAATTTCTTTAAATGGAGCTTTTCTTACTGTATTTTCATTGCGAAGTTCGGATATGATGTTCATTTCTTGAGCAAGGCCAGAGACTGGGATGAATGAATGAAATTCAAAACTGGGTCCCATAGAAATACAAAATCTTAGAGGTTTAAAAACAGCCCAAGAATCATTCAGAGTGGAGGATTGTCGTCGCCAACCATCGATGTGAGGACGGTACCCTGATTGGTTGAACTTAGAATTTATGTAATACTTTATAAATTTGTGAGCATAAAACAAATGACATATTTCTTTTTCAATCACACTCGCCAGCCAGCCTACGTTGTGAATGGACGTCTCTCTGAGACCCCTGCTGCCAAGCCAGCCAGCCTATCTCTTACCGTTGACGAGCTGAACTCAAACGACCACCTCACTAACCATCACTTTGACCGTACAGGGAAGC